CCGTCGAGCTAGGTAGGCGGGGTTTGAGCAACCAGCTCCCGCCTCTTTGTGCCCATTTTCGATTATCCGGGAGTGACGCGCTGCCAAGATGGTGACAGCCGGCTCCGCCAACTTTGAGCTTCAAAAACGCTCTTCAAAAACCTACGGGTGACGTCACGGACACTACGTCCATGTTTTATACAGTCTATGGTAACAAGCCACCACAAGCTGGTTGCGGTTGCCAGATTTCAAGAGTTTAAATCCCCCAATCAGAGCTGCTTTCTTGCAACATTCTGAAATGTTTAACAGCTTAATGTCCTTAAAAACCACCAGCGAAAACCAAAATTCTCTCACATTTCTCTGGTCATAAATGCTACGACATTGGCACCATAATCCAAGTGGAAGGACAATTTTACGTTAAAGGGGACATAACACGCACAGTTTCTGTTCATCTTGAGTACCTAGAGCAGGGGTTCTCAACTCTGGCCCTCAAGGTCCACTTTCCTGCAGAGTTTAGCTCCAACCTTAATCAAACTCACCTGAACAAGCTAATCAAGTTATTCAGGATTACTACAAAGTTACTGGCAGGTTTGTTTGATTAGGGCTGGAGCTAAACTGTGCAGGACAGTGGACCTCGAGGGCCAGAGTTGAGAACCCCTGACCTAGAGAGTACTACTGCATATCCAACATATCTACGAAGAGTCTTTAGTTTTATCAGATTTATAAAAGATAGAGTTGTACCGCTTCTCTCTGAATACAGTCAAGATCCTGGAGGTGTGCTGTGGGCGGAGCTAAAGAGTCACGAGCACGCAAAGCTTTTGCCTAGCGATCGTCTGCAAGCTGTGATATCGACATAAATAATTCCCTTAATGCTGGGTTCTTCGGAAAGCTGAACAAGGTTATCTATCACTCACAACCAAAAATATACTTCTTTGGTGACATTGTTGATTTTGCGATCTAGAAATAAAATGACAAATCCTTCGAGAAAGTGCTGCTGACGACTTCCGTAACACGAATGAAGCACGTTGTTAAACTGCATGTTAAGAGTTTTCTTCTTGTAGAAAACCATTATAAAGAAAATGCATTTGCGCTCTCCCTACATTACAGAAAAATCTCTGATGAGCTGAAATCACCAGCAAACATTTGTTAGTTTAATAATCACTGCTGAGATATTCTGCTCAAATTAAAGTGTAATACAGCCAGTCTCTTTCACGCAGTCGTTTGCACCTTTAAATCTGCAAGCAAACCATGCGTGTTGACTTTTCTTGACTCGTGCTTATGTCGAAGTGCAATAATTCTGATGAATGACAAAAATAATGACAAATATAATCATGATTGAGAAATGTCCAAAATAATTGCGATTAAGTATCGTAATTATCAAATAGCCCTAACACAGTAATATCTAAAACTTTCGACATCTCTAACAAACTCATATCTATAATTTTAGCTTAATAAAATGAAGATTGACAAGATGGAGGACCAAGGATTGAGGTATCATGGGTGGGATCTTACAGATGTGTAGGCGCGGTTGCAGAGGCCACAGGAGAAGAGTTTGGCGTGTTTCACCGTATGTGTAGACAAGTGAACCTCTAAGCTGGTCGCATCTGTGTAGCCGCGGTTGCAATTGTGACATTTGTATGGCTTGTCCTTGTTGTGCTGTCTTCGATGAGACTGAAAAAAACAAGTAAATGTCATGACAGCAGCCTTGATGTTAATGTTAACATGAAATTGACAAGCAGATTTTTAGCAGATTTTTGGAGACAGTTACAGCGACATGTTGCTAAGTAGCTACCAAACTAAAATATTTATAATGGTCTGAATTAATAAACAACACAAAGGAATATATGGCAATGATTTATGCAATTACAACTTAGTGTCAGTTATGGATGGGAATCTGAAGAATGTAATGCAAATGTAATGCATTTAAGTGCCCTAAGATAATTTCAGATTTTAACAGACATTTGACAAATCCAATTTTTGCACAATGTATGTTTACAGACCTTTTAATGACATAAATGCACGCTAATATTTGGTCACTACTACCATTCAAAAGTTTAAAGCCAGTATTGCGTTACTCCATAAAAAAGTAACTAATTACGTTACTTACTTTTTATGGAAAGTAATGCATTACGTTACTTTTGCGTTACTTTTTAAATCGGGACAGGGCTTGCTTGTTTTTTTTATTTTTATTTTTTTTTTATTTTTGGCAAATATAAAAGCCTTTTCACACCAAAAGTGAAATGAATAAGCCTCAGGCTGAAGGGAAAGTAAATTTACGTCCGTACAGTAGAATGCAGAAGAACACATTTCAACACACTTCAGCAATCAAAAAAGACACACAACTGTTTGTCTAGCGTAATTTG